CTCATCACCAAAATTAATTTTGTTATCATCACAACCACAACAGCTTTCATTAAGTTTTAACACATCCTAAGCATGTGATATTTTTTTTCAAATAATTTATCAGGATGTTTTTATTCATGTTTAGGGAAGATTAGCTATTGTCACCCCCCAGTTTGAGATGGACTTTGCCCAACCTAGTATTTTTCCCTAGATTAGATATTTACCACATTGTTAATAATTAATTTTAGAAACAAATTTTTAAAAGTATTCTTCCCAACTAACATATAGCTAAATATCAACTTTCTGGTATCTTTCCAGCAAGGATACAGAATTTCCACATTTTTTCTAATTCCTGGTGATCACTACTTACATAAAGTATTATTATATGCAATGTCACTATGGAGTGAACTATTTGCCTTCCTAAATACTAAAGGATCATGCTTTAAATGGGACTCTAAAAAAAAAGCAATCAAGGAAAGAGAATGGTAGGTAGAAAGGAAGAAAAGATAATGACCATGTTCTTTCAAAATTTCCATCTCTAGCTTGCTAATATATTACCCATTTTCTATTTTAATACAAATATTGGAAGAATATATCATTCCTTATTCATGGTAATTGTACTTTATTTCCTCCTACCATCCCCTTACATACAATAGAATTAGAAAATTTAGTATTAAACAATGATGGTACTATGGATACTATAAAATGAGGACTGGGATAAAAATTAAAATAATACTTTCATGACTATCTCTAATGCTTACCGTAATCCTAAAGGTAGAGGTTGCTTGCACTGTGTACCACAGATAACCAATATAAATATTCGCCTGGCACTTTAGGTGCCAGGCACCTAAGGGATTTATATTTAATCTTCAACAAGACTTTGTAAGGTTTGACTTTTATTATCTTCCCTCTACAGATAATGAAACTGAGTCTTTGAAATGATTTTCCTGAGCTCACACTATTAAGTGAGGGAATAAGGCTGCAAATGAAGTTCTATTGAACTCTAGCACTTGTGGTTTTATTTACAATACTTAATTAATTGAAGCTACAATCTCATAAATAAATACCAGTTCCTGTTGCCTTCACATCCCCACTTCTGTCATATCTTCCTATCCCTCCTTCACACACACACACACACACCCTCACACACACACTCAACTTCCTTTCTTCTTTTCTTTAGGTTTCAGCAACAGTCAACCAAATAGTAGAGCATACTGAGTCTGTACATACTTATTTACTCCCTTTTCCGTAGGAAAAGCACATAGCAGGTGCTCCTATAGCTAGTTTCAGAGTATTCATTGAAAGTTTTCTCTAAGATTGTCACTGTTGCAACTTAATTATTTTCCCAAATGTGGCAGACTACCAAGTGGGTATCTCTTGAAGACAATAACCAGATCCGTTTGAGCAATGAAATATGTGTATATGTAAATCCCATTTAAAATCAGAATTACTCTTCTTTCTAAATTTTTTTTTAAGATTTGGTTAAAGCTGCTTAATGAATCAATGGACTGCACGTGGATGTCAGTAGCTACCAGGGAATGAACACTCTTCTCAAAGGAGCACTCCTATGTGAGTGTATATTTCTCATGGGGGCAAGTCATTTTAAAATGACTAACCATGGTTCATTTGTCCTTTAGTAGGTCTAGAAAACTAAGTGTGAAACAGCTCTTACTCTTCAGTATGTACTAAAATTCAACATTCCAGCTGTTCACATAAATTGTCCTCAAACATTACAATCATTTCTTTAATGATAAAACATAGGAAAAAAGGAAGATGAAGAAACTAAATTTCAATAACCACTTAGCACTATATCTGCTTGTATCAGTCTGAGACTGGTCAGGAAAACAGAGTCACTCAATAAAGGGGTTTCATGAGGATATTAGAGTTTACACCAGTGTTCAAAACGCTAGGGGACAAAGGCCAGGAAAATCAAAACTTAGATTCAGTATTCTTGCTACCTAATGTCAAAGAAGAAGACACTGAAGCTGATTCTTTTGGTTACCAAACTGTAACCCAACCACAGCGAGTCCACTTGCTTAAGGCTTCTTGGGTGTGGCTCCAGGCCATGGTCCTCACACATGGCTCAAAATAAACCTCTTTAAAATTATTTTATAGAGTTTGACTTCTTTTCTGTTGACAGAGAATTGCAAGAGGGCAACTCCTGTTTTGCAGTAGTAAAACAACTTGTAAAAGTATGGTCTGCAGTAACATGGAAGATAAAATGTGTTTAATGAACTTGTGGATCTGCTCAAAGGAATTTCTAGGAAGAATTTTTAAAATGCCAACTGACAATTTTTTTGGCTGTGTATAATGGAAAGAGAAGAATTAAAGTTTACAAGCAAAATTTAGAAGAAATATATAAGAGCTAGGACTTGTTAGATAGGAAAACAAAACTATTTCACATGACTCATCTATCCAGAGAACAAAAGACTGCCAAAGAAAAAAATAGCATCAGGGTAAAGAACATATCAAGGATATGGCTAAGCCAGGCGTGGTGACTCACACCTGTAATCGTAGCACTCTGGGAGGCTGAGGCAAGAGGATCACTTGAGCTCAGGAGTTCCAGACCAGCCTGAGCAAGAGTAAGACCCCATCGCTACTAAAAATAGAAAAATTAGCCAGATGTAGTGGCATGCACCTATAGTCCCAGCTATTTATTTGGGAGGCTAAGGCAGGAGGATCACTTGATCCCAGGAGTTTGAGGTTGCCGTGAACTATGACGATGCCACTGTATTCTACCCAGGACAACAGAGCGAGACACTATCTACAAAAAAATAAAAATAAAAATAAAGGATATGGCTACAAAACCTTTTATTAAGACTTCAGAAAAATTTAAGGGGTGCCTAGTAGAGCCTCCAAGCTAGACAAAGGGACTTTTAGGAATCTCAAGGTTGTTATCCCATAGCCCTAATATTCTGTCCAAAGAAGAGAGAAATCTGTCTTGAAAAGAATTATGCATGTGGCACTTGGGCATGTAGTGACTGTCAATCAGATTTACAGGGAAACACAAAGTTTTTAAGAAAATTGTACTAACTTGTATTAAAAGGGAAAGAGTGCAAAATGAAAAAAGCTTTCGGCAGAAAGCAAGGAGAGAAGCCTACTTGGCTGTAAATCCAGACTATTTCTCCTAGACCAGACGGGACCTCTCCAAGAGCAGAGTCAAGAGCCTGGCGAGGGGATTCAAGAGTGAAGAGTACAGTGAATTAGGGAACCAATTTAGAAAGCAGAAGTGAGCCCTAATGCAGGTGGATTTCTAACCCTCAGAGTGGCATATTCTGATAACATTTGTCTGGGTGGATTTCAGGTCAGTGGCCACTATGTGCTTCCCATTTCCTCATCTTTCTTAATGGGGGTGTCCATTGCAGTTATCCTGTCCCCATCTCACCATTTTATGTTGAGGATTGAGGAACAGATAAATTGTCTTTTTACTTCACAGCTCTCTGAGTCAAGAGGCACTGAAGCTCCAAGGAGTCTCATCTGTTTCTTGACCTGATACAAAACACAAGATCACGGACTTCAAGGCTGGTGCCATGACTGGATGAGATTTGGGGAGCTTAGGAAATGGGTTGAATATATTTTGAGTATGGGAGAGATGGGAATCATTGGAGCCAACAGACAAAATAAAGAGAAGATAATCCACAAACTGAGAATAAAACTAGATCAGACATTGAAGAAGCATGAGCACACTCCCTAAATTGGACACAAACTGAGTTAAAGCAAGACGTGATGGGGAGGGGTGGGTATCCAAAGCCAAAAAGGCAATTGAGTGGAAAAACCTGAGCAGTGTCTATCAAGAACCTCAGAGATCAGATCCAGCAGGTAATGACAAAGAAATAAAGAAAAGAAAATTTACACATACACATGGCAAAATAGGCAAGATTCCATGAACAGAAGTGCTGTAAAACCTTTGTGTAGGTTCACATCTCTCTCTGTAAGCAGGTCTCCACTGGTACAAAGGAGTTAGAGCAATCCCTAGCATTTTCGTATCCTAGTTCTGGAATCACTCCCAGAGTTCAAAACTATGCAATCCCAGACTCTGAACCTCATAGCAATCTCTTTTTTTTTTCATCCTTGCACATTACCCAAACCCACATTACACCTGCTCCTGAACCTCATCAGGACCTCAAATTTTTCAACCCCGGTCTATTTCCTCAGCATGTTGTTCTCTCTGGAGTGCTCTTTTAAGAAACTAGCACTATCCAGCACTCGCACCAACATCTTCCCTTTGGCCTTTGACCCCAGTCTGCATCCCGATTCCTGATCCAATCCTGAATCAATTCGGTTATCTTCTTCTTTGCAATATAAACCCAAATTTGAAACACTGATGGAGGATAACAAAAACCTAGACCAATTTTATCCCAATTACCTCTTAAAGGTTCTAATTTCAGCTAAGCCTTAAGAATGCTCTGTAATTTTTTTGCTTACACCTTCTCCTTAGAGCAGCAGCACCACTCTCTTTGAGACATATCTTGCTACCTGCATACCTCACTCTGCCAAAACACAGATCTTATCCTTTCACTTACATTTCTAAGACTTCTGATGTCCTACAAAATAAAATCTGTGTCTTTATCAAAGCCCTTCATTGTCTTCTTCAGTTAACTTTCATCACTCGCCTCCAACCCTGGCCCTAATAATGCCTTTGCAGTATTTAAGTAAGTTATACATCAGACTACTTCACGTATCTGAATGCATCCTACATTTTTATGCTTCTGCTTTTTCTAATACTTTTCCCTCTACCTACAAAGGCTTTCACTGTCTAACCATGGTATAATTAATTCTCCCTCACCAGTAATCCCAGGATACTTTATACGTATCTCTATAATGCTGTTATTGCATTGTATAATTATGCTATAATTATGTGTTTAGTTGTTTCATTACTAAGGCTAGCTTCTAAAAGACAAGAACAATGTGTTGTTTTGCTATTTTGTTTGCATTGTTCAGGGGTAGGTTTTTTAGGGGGGATGGATGGGGAGGAATATCTTTTACAACTCTGAGATTGATCAGCACATAAACAGCATTCAATAAATAGTTCTGGCCAGGCGCGGTGGCTCACGCCTGTAATCCTAGCTCTCTGGGAGGCCGAGGTGGGCAGATTGTTTGAGCTCAGGAGTTCGAAACCAGCCTGAGCAAGAGCGAGACCCTGTCTCTACTAAAAATAGAAACAAATTAATCGGACAACTAAAAATATATAGAAAAAATTAGCCGGGCATGGTGGTGCATGTCTGTAGTCCCAGCTACTCGGGAGGCTGAGGCAGAAGGATTGCTTGAGCCCAGGAGTTTGAGGTTGCTGTGAGCTAGGATGATGCCACGGCATTCTACCCCGGGCAACACAGTGAGACTCTGTCTCAAAATAAATAAATAAATAAATAAATAAATAGTTCTTAAAGGAATAAATGAGAACAAAGAAGTATAAGAGCAGAAAGGAAGTCTCAGAGTTGGAAAGACAGCAAAAAAAAAAATGGAAAACACTATAAATATATTCATACTATTACAATCAACACACATAGACCTGTTTACTACCTGAAACATTCAATTAGATATTTTTTTCCATTTGAATACCCTTCTCAGTTTACAACATAATCTTTATTTTATAGTAAAAAGTAGTTACTTTATAGACCTCATGACTAGAGTAGAGCTATTAAGTAAACAAACCTCCTACAGAGAGTAAAATGGTGGTTAGAGAATGGATTTGTTTTACCAATTATTTGTTATGTTGTTGTTGTAGAGAAGTTTATTAAACTTGTGTGGCTCAGTTTTCTTATCTACGAAAAGAAAGGTAATAATTGTACCTACCTCTAAGTTTAGCTGTGAAGATTAAATGGGTTAATATTTATAAAGCACTTACCACAGTGCCTGCAGAAGTAAACACTCAGAAAAGACAAATATTATTATTCTAATTGAAACAGTAAACTTGTATGTTTTCATGAGGTCTTGAGAGAACTGAATTTTACTATCTTGCCACTTTACAATGTTTTTACAAAAACTATTTGTGCATGACTCCCCCACCCAGGTTACTTACAATATAAAGTAAATTGAACTATGCCTCTAGGAGCAAATAGTTTAATCAGAGGACAATATAATTGGATATCAAGATCAAACAGACACCTGAATATAAATAAACATTAGATTAAAAATACTGTGTATAACCAGGGGAGTAAGTGCATCATGGGGCCAGATCAACAAATTGGCAAATATTCGTGCTGAGTGAAGCCTGCAGAAGTTTTCTCTCTCCCTGATTATCAAGAAGGCTATATATAACTAATGAGACTACAGGTTCTGCTTAAAGAGTAATCTTGACTATTTCCCAGTGAAGACATTTGAACTACAGAATCCAGTTTATGTTCTAAGAGTAAAAGAGACATGTGTAACATAGTCCATGTCCAGTAAAACCCAGAGGTGGTCCCTAGCACCATGAGAACACACAGTGGTAACTTAAGATATAAAGAAACATGAAGGAATCTGGTCAGAGGCCATGCCTGAATTAATGAAGGTAAATAGTTTGTTAAATTTCTAATTGTAAATAGCAAGAAAAATAAGACAAAAAGAAAATAAAACCCAATTGTGATTTGGCTGAATTTATTTTCCTATTTTCTTTGTTGTCTATAACTTAATTAATCAAAAGATTAATTAAGTTTCTAAGTTTAATATTAAAAAGATGTCAGGTAAACTGTAAGGTAATTTATATGACACAAATTTTATCATACAATTCTAAAATACAACAAAAATTTTGATTTTTTTCTTGGCATTAAGTACCATTTTATTGAGCTTAATTTAAATGCTACAATGTGACAGAGAAATCAGTTGAATTACAAAATAATTCACCTTCTAATTTTAAGCTGATCCACTTTTCTATATAATTAATTTTTATTATGGAAACTCACACAAGATTTCTCTTCTTTAAAATTCTATACAAAAGGTAATTTCAGGATTATTTCCTGCAAAAACTGTTTATCAGGCAAATTAAAGCGGGAAGTTATTTTTGCCTATAGGATGAAAAATGTCAGCACTTTCAATCAATTCCTATAACACTAAATAAACACTGTTGTGAAGGAATTAGCCAATTAAAAATATATTAAGGGTTTTTAAATTAAATATATAGCACAAATTTTATGATGCAAGAATGGGGGAAAATTGGAAGTAAAGTAGAAATTAATTAATCTACCAGTTTGTATTATTGGCTTTGAAGTAAGTGTTTTACATTTGATATTGACCCCCTAAAAATGTTTCAGGGGAAAATAGCTAAGGACTGTGAGGTTCACTGATACTGAAAACACACATTGAGGATTTTATTGACAGTCCTGATGGTGCCTGTGAGCACATCATTATGTCTCAGGCCCTGTGATCCAATATTGATTTCAGGAAATATGGTCATAGCATAACCCTTATAAGAGGTTGAAAAGAATGGAAACAATGGGAGGGAAGGGGAGCGAATAGAATGAGAGCACAAAGTCCAAGAGCTACATAAAGACAATAAAGTAATATAATTTAAGGAATATGAAAGTATAATAATGGTTATAATCAAGAATAAAGTTTCAGGTTTCTACTTTCTGTTTGTCTTCTCCTAAGATACCTGTAGCTGCTAAAGAGTTATTAAAGAGAAGAGGATTGATGGGGAAAAAAAAGCTATCTTATTTTATTACACTTCAAATGCTTTTATTTTACTTGTAATTAAGTAATAGCATGGACTGAAGCAAAAAATATAAGCTATGTGTGGAGAGTCCTCTTACAGAAGTAAGGTAACCTGGTTGTTAACAATGGTGACTTACAAAGAAGAATAATTTCCATTTCAGGGTGAGTACTATTATGAGCTCTCCTTACTGGCAAGTTTGCTTGGTAAGTGGGTTATTTGGTCATGTGTGTCATTGTTATAATGGGTAGTGTTATATGGTTATTTGACTCCAACTAATCTTATATTATTCTTTTAAACCAAATAAACTACTTATATCCACAAAGTCTACTAAACATTCTGACATTTTCCTAATTTCATAAAATGATCATGGAATGCTGGAGATTACTAATTTTTTTGCTTATTTCCCTTTATATAACCTCTATATCCTGAAGTAATATACTAAAATTTCCTTTAGTCTTCACAGGCCAATGATAATGTTCTCAATGTAACTTTGAATTAAATACAAAATTGTTTATCATTTTGAATACTGCCTTTAATGTAATATATTCTCATATTACATTATACAATGCACAAATATATACTAATGACCTGTGCGTTTAAACTTTTTCTGCTGTGGACAAAGAGAAAAATATAGCTAGGGTTAACACTGTTTTAAAAAGCAATTCTATAATGGTAGAAATTTGACTGAGTAACAGTCTAGTTTATTCATGAAAATTGTTTTATTTCAGCTGTATTTTAAGAAATGTTTTGGAAATTACTGTTTGTTACTGTTCTCACTGGATTTCTCTTAAATTAAATGAAAAGGAAAAGAAAGCCTGCAATCTGAACTTCATTTTTTAGATCCATAGAATAGTCTGGAAAAACATACACATATACTTCAAAAAAGTATTCTGAAAGGAAGAGAAAAATTCTTGAAGGCTTCTCTGAACTATTTTTTCTCTTCCTTTGTTACAGGTATCCATTTTTCAGCTATATTAATCTTTTAAAAAAATAAAAAATGGATTTCTTAAACTCATCTGATCAAAACTTGACCTCAGAGGAACTGTTAAACAGAATGCTACCCAAAATTCTGGTGTCCCTCACGCTTTCTGGGCTGGCACTGATGACAACCACCATCAACTCCCTTGTGATTGCTGCAATTATTGTTACCCGGAAGCTGCACCACCCAGCCAACTATTTAATTTGTTCCCTTGCCGTCACAGATTTTCTTGTAGCTGTCCTGGTGATGCCCTTCAGCATTGTGTATATTGTGAGAGAGAGCTGGATTATGGGGCAAGTGGTGTGTGACATTTGGCTGAGTGTGGATATTACCTGCTGCACATGCTCCATCTTGCATCTCTCAGCTATAGCTTTGGATCGGTATCGGGCAATCACAGATGCGGTTGAGTACGCCAGGAAAAGGACCCCCAAGCATGCCGGCATTATGATTACAGTAGTTTGGATTATATCCGTTTTTATCTCTATGCCTCCTCTATTCTGGAGGCACCAAGGAGCTAGCCGAGATGATGAATGCATCATCAAGCACGACCACATTGTTTCCACTATTTACTCAACATTTGGAGCTTTCTACATCCCACTAGTATTGATTTTGATCCTCTACTACAAAATATATAGGGCAGCAAAGACATTATACCACAAGAGACAAGCAAGTAAGATTGCAAAAGAGGAGCTGAATGGCCAAGTCCTTTTGGAGAGTGGTGAGAAAAGCACTAGACTGGTCTCCACATCCTATGTGCTAGAAAAGTCTTTATCTGATCCATCAACAGACATTGATAAATTTCATAGCACAGTGAAAAGTCCCAGGTCTGAATTCAAGCATGAGAAATCTTGGAGAAGGCAAAGGATCTCAGGCACAAGAGAACGCAAAGCAGCCACCACCCTGGGATTAATCTTGGGTGCATTTGTAATATGTTGGCTTCCTTTTTTTGTAAAAGAGTTGGTTGTTAATGTCTGTGAAAAATGTAAAATTTCTGAAGAAATGTCAAATTTTTTGACATGGCTTGGATATCTCAATTCCCTTATAAATCCACTGATTTATACAATCTTTAATGAAGACTTCAAAAAAGCATTTCAAAAACTTGTGCGATGTCGGTGTTAGTTTAAAGACAATTTATTGTTAAAGGGTCGGTTTTTGAGGGAGGGAAGTAACTACACAAATGCTAAATAATAAAACATTTAAACTTTTAGGAGGAAATATATTAAAACTGCTAAAATGATAGGAATATAATTTATATTTTAACAGCAACACAAATACAAAATTTATTGATTTGATCATTATACTAGAGTACTCAAAATCAGAAAATAATTTATGCAGGTTATAAACAATAGTTTGCCTATGCAATATTCCTAAAAAGCTAACTGAAAAAAAATATATATATATAAATAATATTAGTGACAGTGATTTCTTTAGGTTCATGTTTTACAACAATTACAGGGAAGTTTTCAATTAACAACATACCTTCATCCATAATTTCTATATAATCCTATTGTTTTATTATACAATTCTGTTACTTTCTAGAAAAGATATAATTCATCACAAAGCACACATCTCTCCTATCTAACCATTCTTGCCCCTTCTCCATCTTACCCATAGTGAAAGGAGAGAGGGGAAGGAGGTATCAACTTTTATTTAGTATGACTGGAATAAATGTAAAAGTCAGAGATTGATATTGCCTTAGTATTTAAGTAGTAAAGAGTAATCATAAAGTGGATTAGGTATGGCAAAATAATTCTGGATACTAGACTTGTGAATATTTAATATGTTCTGTTTAATATAAATATCTAGAAGACTATTATCTTAACCATATCCTATCAACATTTGAAATCAAAGGGATGGGAGGAGATTGTTATGACTGCCCCTTGTTTATTTAGGAATCAAATTTAAGGTACTAAATATCCTAGGTTACTCACCATAGTTATTATACTCCTAACATCTTTTTAAAAATGTGAAATACATTTCATTTCTGTTAATATTAATAAGCTCAGTAACTGTCTGTGGTACATTGCACCTCAGCATCTCCATACCTTTGATTTGAATATTATTTCCCTTTTATTATATGGAATGTAATAGGAATTTTTAGAACTTTCTATTGACTTTAAAAAAATCTCTAGTTTTCCAACTGATAGAAATGAACAGGCAAAGACTCACATTGCACTAATTTTACATGTATATATATCCTATTATATATCACAATTAGTCACTGTATTAGTTCAGTGAGCCAAAAAAATTCCATCAGTTTTTCTTCCATGTTTATATAGAGATTTGAAAACAATAGAACCATGCTTTTGAGAAGATTTTATTTTATTTGAACCAGCAAGGTCATAGACTACCTTTGGGAAGTGTTATCATCAACCAAAATCATTTGAAAAACAATATATACCTTTTTTTTTAAGTTATGCCTTTATGTATATTGTAAGTATTCTTTCCTGTTGGGTTGCTTAAGAGTGCATTACAGCAATTTTTTATTAATACATATCCATGACACATTACTCTCAACCTAACAAATATTTACAGAGTTCCCATTTTGTACAAGACATCGAGACATGTACTAGATAGAAGATTCAGGAAATAATAAAGTACAGTTTCTTCCCTTAATATGTTCACAATCTAAAAGGAAAAACAAGAAAAAATAAAAACTGTAATAGAAAAGAACAAAGACCTGGCATGAAGTGGTTTACACAGTTGCAATGGTACAGAGGAAAAATTGATCACATCTGATTGAGAAAAATCAGAAAAATTTTATAAAGAATGTATCTAAATCCAGTGTCATATAAACAACATTTGGACAGAGAAATGGAAGAACATACTCCAGGTAATGGCAACATCAGGAATACAGACCAAATCATGCAAATATTTGGTGGGGAATGTTCATGAAATAACAGTGAATTTGCCAACTATGTAAAACAATAGAGGAAAAGGAGATTAAAATAAAAAGTGGGCATTATTGTGGCTGACTTTCAATGTAGGAAAATGAAGTCTGCACTCAGTTTTATTGCTGTCAGTGAGTGATCACTGATTTTTTTTTTTTAGCAGAAATATTACAAGTTTAGGGTAAATCTGAAAAAAATATTATCTGACGTCTGACTGGATTTCAGCAGAGAGTAGTGGAGATGACTTCTTGTTAGACAGCAAATCAATAATTCAGACAAGAGGCGATGAAGCCCTGAACTTGATTCTGACAATGGGAATAAAAAGGAAGAAACAGATGAGAGATGGTGTGAAAAGGTAGAATTTATAGGTTATAGGAAATTCTTTAAGAGGCAGGCAGAGGGAGAGACATGAGTCACTGAGATAATGTCCTTACCTGAAAGGAGGAACTCAACAGAAAGGGCCTTTTGGTGAAATGATTACTTCTTTTGGAGTAGGTTAACCACATAAAGACTTGTCAGAGCTCATAGACACTAATGACCACGTCTGGTCTAAGCAAAACTGACAGGTAGATAAGGTTTCTCTATGGCCTCAAAACTGACAGGTCAATGAGGCTCCCAGCCACCTCTTCCATCCTTGCTTCACTTCATCTTTCAGGCCCTTGTGCTGTGTTGACAGCCAAAGCCTGCTATAGAGCCTCTATCATTCTCTGCTTACTTCCCCTGCCCCATCTCACTTACCAGAATTTGATCCTGTGATTTATTAATTCAAAGACCTTGCTAAAGTTAAAATAACCTGTTAAATTAGTTTGTTTACATCATTCTCAGAAATTTATGTATCTATATATTGGGAAACTCTAAGAGACACAGCCCATCAACAATCCAAGCAGAATAAGGCTCACCTAAATATAGATACTGCCTTCTGATCTGAGTTGGGCGGAAGCTCAAATCTAAGAGAATAATACCATAAGTAAGTGAAGGGTTTATTTTTGCTCTACCTGTCTAAATCTTTGCAAGTGAAGGATGTTTGAAAGGCCAGGACAAACAACCAAATAAACATAGGAAGTCAAACTACCAGATACTAAATTCAGTAATTCAGTCCAGCACTTTATCATTACATATAGTTGTGTATAAACTATGCTCATAAATACACTTCTGCTTGAGAAACATGGTCTTTATTGTAGGACCAGTTTAAGAACATGGATTTCCTAGGTTAATAGGGTTTGGGTTTGAGTTTTGGTTTTGTTTTGTTTTACAATGACCCACAGGGTCAAATCCATACTATAAACAGGTTATCCAGGTACTGGCAGTTGCTGGGTCCATTCTTAAGTAGGACCAATTTCCATTTTTAACCTCGAAAACCAATCTTCCTTTCTGTTTTCTGGTAACTTTGATTCCCCACCACCCACCCCTAATTTGCCCTAGAGTATGAGTGTTCCTTGCTTGTATCAGTCGTGTTAGTTTCAAATTTAAAAATTCCCTTAGCAAAGCATAATCCACATATTCACTGGCTCAATGTTAAGCTTCTCTGTTTCCAAGAGTTTTTTTGTCAAAAATAAATGGAGAATTAACCAGAAGCCAATTACTAGTAAATATGTTGATTTGCTCCACCAAATAGCTTGAAAGTGGGGATGATCATAAGCTTATTGCTGAAATCCATTCCTTTACTTCAAGGAAGAAATTATTTTCTCATGAATTTATACAAGACTATTTTTGACTTATAGGTCAGAGAATTAGGTTTACTGTATTGCAGTACAAAGGAAACATGAAAGATTTTTCCTTACCATATCGCAAAGTCCTTCAAAAATAATCCTGCTTAATTCAAAAAGTGTCCATATTAAAGTAATTTGTTTCTGAAAATGTGTTTCTAAGATCTTCCTAATAACTAAAATGATTCTATGCAGATCTTTGTTTTGCTAGAAAATATTTCTGAAAGCAAACTAATATTTTTTTCACGAATAAAGTAAATATTTTCTTATGATATTATGATAAATTTTCTTGGGCTTTTGAATCAATATGATTACTCTCATTATTTAAAATAAGGAACTCATTAAGAGAAATGTTTTCCAACATTTTAATAAATGTTGGGCTATTGATATAGAATATCTTCTCTGTGCAAAACGTGGTATACTTCAAATCCACCACAGAAGGATAGAATTTTTTCAGAGAATTTACATTTTCTGATTAGATCAGAAACTCTAAAACTTCTATTTGAGGAAAAAAGCATGATATTATTTTTATAACAGTAACAACAATAAATCTTGTCAAAACAGTTGTCCATTAAAGTTGTGTTCAGTCTCAGTTCTAATTTTTACCATGGAGAGTTTCTACCTCTACAAGGACACTAAAATGAACCTATTAGTTTATGTAGATGTAGCAAAGCTTCCTATGCTCCACAATATCTTTTCATTATATTCTATTAATATTCCTCAACTATATTTAACATTCATGACTAAAAATCATACTTATTATGTATGTTGTATCATTATTAATTATTATATAATTATATTGTATAGCTGGATCTGATGCCTTGTGGTCTACCCCAGTCCAACCCACTTAATAAAGGAAAATTTTACTCACCTCCACTTCCCTCCAACACACAGATACATATTGACCATTTTTTCTTTGTGTTAGTAGGCTTGGTTAGAATTTGAATCTATCTGTAACCCTAGTAGAGTGTGTGTGTGTGCACGTGAGAATGTGTGTCATTTTGTAAAACAAGTTGATGTTAAGAAGAACTGATCTGTAAAAAAAAATTGACCTTTTTAACATAGCACACTGTTGAAGATGAAGGAAGAAGAGTAGGAAGAAGGAGAGTTTGCAACATTAAGGAGCAGGATTTTAGATTTTAAAAAGCAATGTGAGTAAGAATCACCTGTGATGCTTGTAACAAAGGCAGACTTCAAAGATTTAAATCAGTGAGTTCCCAGTGGAGTCCAAGAACCCGAGTCTTTACCTAGGATTTCAGGTTACTCTAATGGAAGGTGAAGCTTGGAGCTTTTGTTCTAGAGACCACTGCTTTAAGCTCCTCGTTAGTTGTTTTGTGGGATTATAGTTATGAAATAGTGAAAATGAGACTTCACCACCATTTTACTAGTAGACTCCCACTCAGAATCCAGAAAACTACTTTGCTACTACATGAAAAGCATCTAATGGGCAAAATTGAACAGGAACAGAAGTAAAAATCACATCTACATTGCTTAAGTGGATTATACAGCATTCAATTTATTAAAAAAGCTATTGAATCTATTTTCAAGGAGCTTATTGTTTATATTTTCTCGGGCAAGGAATAAAAGTTTTCCATTACATATAAAGCAGCAGTTTAGAAGAATAGATTTGAAATCAGAAAAGGCCAACTTTGAATCCTGTTCTGCTAATCATCAACTTGATTCTGAGCAAGTTTCATTTATCCTGCTTTTCTCAACTATAATTGAAAGACTAAGAAGAGTGAGATAAATCAAATGCTCTTGAAAAACACTAAAGGCCTGCAAAATAGAAATTAGCATTATTATCATTATTCTCTATAGAAAATCTGGTAGGAGTCAGAGGGCATTTGACAGGGAACCTGGTGTTCTGCATGGCACACACACTGCCTTTCTCTGAGTCTGGAGAGAAGCGAGGAAGTAGTTAATGGCCCCTGGTCCTGGCTCTCGCTGGTAGAGCATTAACTCCCAACAACCCTATCCACAGCTACAGA